GTGGGGAGGGGACCAGGACCTTTCCAGCCGGCCCGTAGGTGGCGCACGGGGAAAGGGATTCCCGGCGGCGTCCCCAAGCTCCGGGCCGCAGCTGCGGGGGCCAGGCGGGAGGGCACCCGCGGCGCAGACTGCACCCCAGCCCCGCTGCTCTCTCAGCTCGAGCGGCTGCTCAGCACGCGTGCGAGGAACCGACAGAACCGAACTGCGTAGTGGGCCAGTGCAGGGGCGCGCCCCAGGGGCTGGGAGCCGCGCGCCGCCCCGACCCCACGCGTCGGGCAACCTGGCGACCCCCACGCGCGGGGGGCCCTGCCCGCCCCTCCCCGCGGCAGGTGGACAGTGTTGCTATGAAGAGAAAGCCTCGATTGTCCCTGCAGCAAACCGCCACACGCCAGACCTCCGCTATTGTGCGCTCCCCATAGAAATGCAAACGAGCCGCGCGCGCCGGCCGCAATCTGCTCACCCCGCCACCCGCCCCGGCGCCCGCCGCGCTGGGAGCTGGGCTAGGACTGTCTCGCGCCGGCCCGAGGGGTGTTGGGTGTGCAGGGCAGGAGCGCCGTGGGCTGGCGCTGTGTCCACTGCCTTTTGCAAGTCCCAAAGTGGGGCTGCCTGTTTTACCTTAATTTCCGGCTTCAATGCAACAGTCTCATAAACTTTAAATTAGAAGGAAAGAAAAAAAATAGAAAGATAGCAATAAAAATAAATGCAAAAACAATTTTTTAGATTCTCTAAAGGTGCATTTCACAAATTGCAGCAGCATATTAGCAAACGACGTCTTTTTTTTTTACTTTTTCCTTTTAAGGACTTCAAAAAAATAGAAAGGCTAGATGAAATCTGCAGGCTCCAGTCTGCCTGGTAACACCCCGACAAAAGCGGCAGATTTGAGGCATTGTCATCCCCCGCACCCCTCCCCACGTGGCCTTCTGGCACGAGCCGCCGGCTCGCCGTCTCATTTGCATCAGAAAGCGGGTGCGGGCCAATGGGCTCGCAGCTCCCGCCAGCTGGCGGCGCCGCGCCCGCCGGCCTATATAAGGGCGCACAGCGGCGCCCGGGCACACTCGCAGGTGGTGGGCGCGCTGGGCAGGTCTCCGGTCGTCCTTGTGCGCTCGCGTGCGCTCCGCGCTCTCCGCTCGTGGATAACTTGCTGCTCGCCCACCGCACCATGACTCTGGAAGAAGTCCGCAGCCAGGATACAGTTCCGGAAAGCACTGCCAGGTGGGTCTGTCGGCGAGGAGAGTGCGGCCGGTCCGGCGGCGGCTTCGAGGTCCGCAGGCCCCCGAAGGGGGAGTCCGCAGGGTGCGAGCGCCAGGTCGGGGTTGGGGAGCCAGCGCAGCGGGCGGTGTGTTGGAGTTAGGGAGCCGGGGGTGCGTCCCTGTCGTTGGGGCCGGGCCCCCTCCTGACGTTGGCTCGTCCGCAGGATGCAGGGTGCCGGGAAAGCGCTGCATGAGCTGCTGCTGTCGGCGCAGCGCCAGGGTTGCCTCACCGCCGGCGTTTACGAGTCAGCCAAAGTCCTGAACGTGTGAGTATAGACGCGGCCTGAGCTGGGCTATTGGGGCAGGGGAGGACGACGGGAGACCAGGCGGTGGTGGCAGCAGACCTCAGCTTGCTGGTTCTGACCTTGGCCCACTGCCGCCTTCTCAGGGACCCGGACAACGTGACCTTCTGCGTGCTGGCCGCTGACGAGGAGGACGAGGGCGACATTGCCCTGCAGATCCATTTCACCCTGATCCAGGCGTTCTGCTGTGAGAATGACATCGACATTGTGCGCGTGGGCGATGTGCAGCGGCTGGCGGCTATCGTGGGCGCTGGCGACGGCGACGAGGCAGGCGCGCCGGGCGACCTGCACTGCATCCTCATCTCGGTGAGCGCCGTCCCCTCCCCAGTCTCCACTCTGGTGTCGCCCCGCCTGGCCCGCAGCCAGCCGGACTGACCCCTGCTCTCTCCCCTCAGAACCCCAATGAGGACACGTGGAAGGACCCAGCCTTGGAGAAGCTCAGCCTGTTCTGTGAGGAGAGTCGCAGCGTCAACGACTGGGTGCCCAGCATCACCCTCCCCGAGTGATGACCCAGCGGGGACCTTGGTCTGATCGACGTGGTGACGCTCCGGGGCGCCTAGTGCGCGGCTGGCTCTATGGAGGGGCCCTCGGAGGGCGCCCGAGCGAGCGCGGCGTGGAGACTGGCAGGCGAGGGGGCGCCTGGAGAGCGAGGCGGTGCGGCCTCCCAAGGAGGGGGCCTGGCGGCGGCAGGGCCGGCTACCCGAGCTGAGGACTCGGCAAGGATCCGGAGCGGCTGCTCGCCCCGAAGGCTGAGGCGGGGACACTGGCCGCGGGGGCCGGGAAGCTCAGACCGGCGGCAGGCGTGACTCAGCAGCCTACGCCCGGCAGGAAGGAGGGCAAAGGCGCGGCGCCTGGACTCGGTGACAGTTGCAGGAGCCGCGACGGACTCCGCAGACTGCGCTGCTTTTTCAAAACGGATCCGGGCAATGCTTCGTCTTCTGAAGGATGCTGCTGTCGAAGCTTTGAATTTTACAATAAACTTTTTGAAACAAACTTACGCTCTTTATTGAGGGTAGGGGATCCTTGTTTCAGGGGAGGTGGTGAGCAGGGTTTCAGAGGATTGCTGGAACTCCGTGGAACTGATGGCACCTGTTCCCTCTTCCTGTTGAGCAAGAATTACAGGCTCCTCCGCGCTGGCAGAGGGGGAGGGCGGCCGGCAGTGGCAGGGTAGAACTTGAGGCCAGCTCCTGTTTTCTCCTTTTAGGAGCATTTTATACTTGCAAAAGCGGGAGCATACTTGAGATAAGACTGCAGTGCAGCAGCTAAAGGCTTGTCCTCCAGCCCGATAACAGTGACCTCTGCCTCCCCTCCCCCCCAGCCCCAGTCCCCTCCCTTCCCTTCCTTTCCGTCCTCTGTCCTCTGACAGCTGCTTATCTGAACAGCTTGCAGGAGGCCACAGCGCAGTCCTGCACAATGAGCCCTGCCTTCTGCAGACCCTGCCCTTTGTGGTCCCTGAGGGTGGTGGCAGGCCACTCCTGCTCTCAGGAACTTTTTCCTCTTCGGTGCTCTGACACAAAGCAATGTTACAAAGGTATTAATATCAAATGTGACACTGATGACTGCAGTTAAGTGTGAGTCATCATTCTGTCATGACAGAGATAGAACTTGGAAGATCTGAGCAGAAATTGGAAGACAGCATCTATATAAATAGGAGTGAGCAATTGTGAGGGGCCTGCATCTGCTATCTACTATTTCGAGTGTTCTCTGCCCACATCAGAGTTACAAGGACTGCTGCTATTCACAATGCCATTTAAAGATTTATAGAAGGAAACGATTTAAAATCTTTTAAGCTAAGACTTTCTTTAAGAAGGGTCTAGATGAAAACATCCAAGGGAATCAATCTTTTTTATTAGACCAATATGTCTTGTTTTCACTCCCTGTGCCTGACGGTAGCTGCTTTCGGTTGGGGACACACACGTGGATCCCTGTGCTGTCAGCTAGGCTGCCAAGCACGCCAAGAGCCTTCTGGGCAAAGGAGGGATGGTGTGCAGCTTTTCTAAGAAACATTCTGCAGATTTATCAGCAGTCCTTGGGGGTGGCTTATTTGCCTTGAGTGCCACTTTTTAAATCGTCTCCAAATTGTGGAAGCATTCACAAGACAACAGGAAAACTGTAAGAGCTTAATTACTCTTCTTGCAATGAAAGCATCCTGTTTCCCATTTATCAGCTCTTAAAAACATCTACCCCTTGATGAGACAGAAGCCCAGTGAAATGATTCAGCTGTGTTTGTGCCCAAGTTTTGCCTATTCAGCTGCTCAAAACCTTGAGGTTTTCTGATCGAGGTGGAGTCTTGGGGTGGGCCTAGCTATACCAGTCTGCCTCTGGCAAAATGACCATTTGCCACAACATGCTATCGTAAACACAAAGGGGGCATAATTACTTTAAAATGTCCTCTTAAATGAGTAAATTCAGTAGAACATTGCAGACCCTTCTGCCGGCTGGGTGGCCCTTGTAGAACATTAAGTTGGCAGCCTTTGCCTTTCTCTGATAAGAGCTTGCTGTGAGGCCATCTGTTGGAGCCCCAGGGGCTAGGAGAATTTTCAGGGAAAAGCATGCATGCTTGGACACAGTGCCAGGCACAAAGGTTGTGCAAAAAATTTTTTTTGATGAATGGATATTTAATGCTATTAAAATTGACTAACCTATAGAGCAGGTAATAAAATGTACAGTATTTATGAACACGTCACGGCATTTGATACTTCCAACAATCTGTGTGATAATGCATGTATAAGTCCCCAGTACATTCTAATTATTACTACATGTGTGTTGAGGTGACCCATGCAGACTATTGAGCCCAATGCCCTGCATCTAGAAAGTGCTGAATGAATGTTAATGACAATAACACTTAAAAGCTAATGAAAGCATTTGCTCGAGACCACAGAACTCCAAGTGAACTAGTGGTTTTGGACCTGATCAGTCTGGATCCAGGGCCAACACCTATTGCCAGGCACTCCCAGGTACTGCTGTGCTTGCAGGGTTATTTTGGAAAGAAGGCTATTTTCATAAGATAACTTTTTATAAGTTATATGCATTTGTTGTAGAAAACTTGTAAAATACAAAAACATTAAAGAGGAAGTAAAAGCACCTGGGCACATTTTGGTGTATTTCTTAATCACCTTTTGTTTTCAGTCTGGGATGTAAATATTGTGTAAGATACAGAAACACACAGCAGTCTGTACAAAGCTGTATTGGCTCACCCTGAATTAGGTTTAGTTTCCTGCTCCTTCTCATTGTATGCTGTGGCAGCCCCCAGGTAACCAAATGACCTTGAAGGACAGGGCTTTTCACGGCCTCATCAGGCTCCAGAGCCAGGGTGACAATGCACACGCTAGCCTGTGGCCAGTTGGGGACTGTTGTGCACCTTACATTCCTCACCAAACAAGATAGATGCCTGCTGTTTGTAGGATTTTAAGTGTAAGTGTCACATGTCTAAAACAAACCTGTGCCACCTCAGAGCCATCAAAGTCAAGCATGCTTGCTTTTTACTTAAAAAAGTTTTGCGTTTGGTCATTGCTATAAAAATTTACACTGGCAAAGCACCTATTTGTGAAGATGAAATGAATACAGAAATGACAATGAGAGCGGCTCAGAGGGTCAGGCGGTCCTGGTCCACGCCCAGCCTTGCCCACACAGGGAGCTGAGGTCTCCTTGTTCCTTGCCTGGTAAGATGGCAGGACAAAATGATCCGAGATCTGTTTTGTTTTTAAAGGCAATAATTCTCTGTGTTATACATCGTATTAAACCATTAGCCTCAATAGCACAATGTGTATTGCTCTTGAGGCTTACAAGGAGCCACTTGAGAAAGAGTGGAAAGTGAATTTTCCAGAGGAAAAGCAAGGCTGTTGGCAAACGTGGCGAGGCTTGTGAAGTCAGCTCCGTGAGCAGATATGCATTTCTGCTTTTTGTTGCTGTCGTTGAGATTCTTGTGCTTTTCTGCTGGTTTTCCAAGATATCAGCCCCTGTACTCCTCATTTGGGTATGTCCCCATAACTGTCAAAAGGGAATTGTCCTTCCACAGCCACCGTGGAGAGACTTTATGACTTAACTGGGGGCAATGAGGCATGATCCTGCACAGCAGCCGCTGGCCAGGTGGCTGAGCTGGCATGTAGGACCAGCGGGGGACCACGGATGCCTGGAGTGGTGACATGGCTTTGATTTCTGTTCTAGGGCAAACTCGCACTTGGTCTTTTAAGTAGCCCTCTGCTTAAGTCTAGCTCAATTTGTTTTTCTTTATCTTCTAGGATAAAATTGCCAAATAATTTCACTTCTCTTGGCAAATAAGAGCGTGCAAGATCTCCTGCACGGGCGAAGGCTGCTTGGAGCAGTCTGGATTCCGGGAGGCACTGGCTGCACCAGGGTGGACGGCTTCTGGCCCACCTTTAAAGCCTCGTGAACTCATGGTGGGTGAGGAAGGCACTGCTTGGGCTGCTGGGCTTCAGGGATGGACGCAAGTTGCTCCCTCATGGTTCAAACATGCGTTTGTTCGTTCGTCACTCATTAATTCAGCTGACATTCCCCGAGAGCACATGCTGTGCCAGGTGCAGTGCCAGGGACACAGTCCCCACCGGTCCTTGCCTACCTGGAAGGTCCCGACAGTGCTGGGATGAGGCTCGGGGCTCCGAATCCTCAGGCCCATCCTCACCTCTCATCCCACCTAGAAAACTCAACGAGGATGGAAATGAAGACGCTGAGTGCCAGGGATACCATTTCCTGTTCCAATCACCAATTTTATAAGATTCCCACAAGCCAACTTAGAAATATGTTGCAGGCCAGGCGCGGTGGCTCACGCCTGTAATCCTAGCACTCTGGGAGGCTGAGGCGGGTGGATCGTTTGAGCTCAGGAGTTCGAGACCAGCCTGAGCAAGTGTGAGATCCTGTCTCTACTAAAAATACAAAGAAATTAGCTGGACAACTAAAATATATATATATAAAAAAATTAGCCGGGCATGGTGGCGCATGCCTGTAGTCCCAGCTACTTGGGAGGCTGAGGCAAGAGGATCGTTTGAGCCCAGGAGTTTGAGGTTGCTGTGAGCTAGGCTAATGCCATGGCACTCTAGCCCGGGCAACACAGTGAGACTGTGTCTCAAAAAAAAAAGAGAAATATGTTGCAGATTGCATTCCGTGATATTTTAGCGTCATAAGCGTCCTCTGCCTCTCTCCTTCTCACCATCTCCCATTTATTTCCATTTTTCTGATTTCTCTCCAGTCCAAGCCTTCCCAGACTGTGGCCGTGCTTCCCTCCTGAACACTCCAGCGGCTTCCGACCGCGTGCCAAAGTCCACTTCCCTGCCTGGCATTCTGCCCTCCTTCCTTGCCTTGCTTCCCTCCTCCTCCCTCTCCTGTTAGGCAGGGACCAAATCTGCAGGTGGCAGAGGCAGGCCAGGAGGGCTGTTCCTACGGGTGGAAAAGCCGGGGAAGGGACTGCAGGAAAATGCAGCTAACAACCGCAAAGAGCAGGAACGTGAGGAGGACTCCACCTGGGAGTCCTCAGCGTCTTTCTCCACTCGTGGAGACTGACCCGTTCCTCTGTGGAACACACTCTCGCTTCGCCGAGCTCCCTTCTTTTCTGCAATGAAAGCTGTTTGTGTGGAATTGCTTTCCGTCTGTGGTCACTCCGTTGCATTGGCCCTGCTTCTGAATTTCCAAGCAAGGAGCAAAGAGCCAGGACAGCATTCCGCCAAGGGGCCGGACCTGACACTCCCACGCTCCCTCCTGCCGTTGTTGAGGAGCTCCTGCTCTGGACTGCTGTGCTCTAGCAGGCAGTGGGCTCTCTCCCCCGGCAGTGGGCTCTCTCCGAGAGCCCCCCAGGCCCTGACTGCATGTGCAGGTCGAGCCACCTGGCCCAGGGCAAAGAGCCAAGTGTGTTCTCGCTTGCTCCATGTCCCTGCCCAAGGTGTCAGGTCCTCACCTCTGAAGTGGGCACATGGCCCAGTGGCCCGGGCTGTGTGTGGGCGATGGCAGGGCAGGATGTCAGAGAAGGGTGCATCACAGCC